TCTTTCTTTCTTTCTTTCTTTCTTTCTTTCTTTCTTTCTTTCTTTCTTTCTTTCTTTTTCTTTACTGGGGATTGAACCCAGGGCCTTTGCACTGAGCAACATCCCCATCCCTTTTAGCGTTTTGATTCTTTTTTTTTTTTAGACAGAGTCTTGCTATGTAGTTCAAGCTGGCCTCAAATTCACTATGTAGCCCAGGCTGGCCTCGAACTCATGGCGATCCTCCTGCCTCAGCCCCCTCAGCTGGGATCATAGGTGTGCCCTACCATGCCCTGCCCTTTTAAAATTTTGAGACAAGGTCGCATTAAATATCCCAGGCTGAGTTTGAACTTACAATCCCCTGCCTCAACCTCCCAGAGTTCTGGGAATGGAGGCATGTGCCATCATGTCTGATACAGAATTTTTAAAATCAGCCTTTTACCTACAGATTCCTACTTAATCCTTATATTTCAGAGGGAGTAATAATATTCCCTTGATGCTTCAGTAGATCCCTCTATTTTGTTATGTTTCTTTCTATTCTCAGTCCACAGCATCTTGTACAGATTGCTCTATGTGATATTATGAGTGCCTTTTGGCCTAAAAGGATATCTTCTCCCTAGGCTATAAATTCCTTAACAGTAAGTATGATAGTTAATTTTATGTGCCAATTTGACTGGGCCTTGCAATGCCCAAAGAGCTGCTCAAATATTATTTCTGGGTATGTTTGTGAAGGTGCTATGATTAAGATATGATCTAATCGTGTCTCCCCAAACATTCATGTGTTAAAGGCTTGGTCCCCAGGGTAAGGCTATTGGGAACTGGTGGAACCTTTAAGAGATGGGCCTGGGAGGCCCTTAGGATACAGGGGACAAGAGGGAGTCCTGCAACCCCTTGAGTTCACATGAGAGGATTACGGTAAAAGGAGAAAGCTTTTGCCATAGAGCCTGTGCTATGCCATTTGGACTTTAACCTACAAAACTGTGAGTTCAATAAACCTCTCCTTCTTCAAAAGTACCCTGTGTCTGATATTTTGTAATAATGATGAAAAGCTGACCGAGTATTTCTGGAACAGATGAACATGTGAATAGCTAGACTGAATAAAGCAGGTGACTCTCCTCAGTGTGACTGTGTGCAGTGGGATAGGTGGGGCATCATTTAATTCACTGAGGACCAAAATAGGACAGAATGGAAGGGAAAGATTTAATTCTCTCTATGTCTGAATGCTTGAGCTAGGACACTGATCTCCTCCTTCCCTCTGTGTTTCTGGTTCACAGTACTTACTAGATTCCACACCACTGGCTCTCCAGCTGTCAGTATCTTCAAACTACACCACCAACTTTCCTGGGTCTCACCTAGCAGACAGCCAGTCATGAGACTTCTCAGCATCCACAATCATGTGAGCCAATACCTTATAATAAACACACAGACACACATACACACACATACACACACACTGACGCAGCAGAGGAAAATACCCTGTTTCTCTGAAGAACTCTTACTGATAGAGTAGGAAAAAATACCTTTTGAACATGGTAGCTCCAATCCTAGCATGATTTGTTGGAATTTATCCAATGTCAATGGAATCAAAACCCATTTCTTTTCACATTCCAACAGGAAAGTCAGGCCCTTAATCAAATAAATGGGGAAAAATGTCATTCCTGTTATTGTAGAAATATGATACAATAATTCTCATGGGAACATAATGAAGAGAATTGTTATTTCTTCCTTGAGGTCAAGATTAGGCTACACAGAAGGCTACCTACATTTGACCTGGACCTAGGACATGAGAAAGTCTTCACCAAATAGATTATCTAGAAGAGGGAATATTATGAACAAAGATAGGAGTTAGAAATATCCAATGTGGCACTTGAATTCTGCTTTTAGCCAAAATGAAAACAGAAATTGGATTTACCCTCTCACCTGAAACAACTGAAAAATTAGACAAAATACAAGATATTAGACTCAAGTAACACTGGACAATGATGGATGCATGATGGGAAACAAGATGAGCCAGATAGTTGTCCCAACTTACCTACAGGGTTTCCAGTCATGGTGTAGGGTGAAGAAATGCAGGCCAATCTCATTGATCACCCTGAGTTGAAGAGACTTCCTGATCTAGGATTCTCAGGGGGCCATGGTTGCTAGAGTCTACGAGTAGCAGTACTGGGGCTGAAAAAAGAAAGATCCCCAGAGACCTGAAGAGTTTCCCTCTGGAGTCTTTCACTGAGTACTGATCAACACATGCAGGAGGAAAAAAATACCTGAGGCTGGGGAAAGAACAGCCAAAAAGATTAGAGGGATAATCCTTGGAGCTAATCCATTTGTGGAAATAGTTCTTATTCCCATAGCCAGAGCAGAAAACCTCACAATTCACAAATAATTAGATAGAAAAGTTTTGCCTTAGGAATATGAAAAAATTAACGGTAGACTCAAACTCCTTCTTGCCCTGTCTAACAAATCTCAAAAGGAAGAAAGTTGTATTAGTTTTTTTTTTTTTTTTTTAACTGTGTAACAAATTGCCACAAATATAGCAACTTAAAACAACACTAAAAGGCTAGGAATGTAACTCAGTGGTACAGCACATGTTTAGCAGCAGGAGGCCTTAGGAAAAAGAAGATGAAGAAGAAGAAATAGATATGGCTCTCTCATCTGAGGGGTAGAGCTCAGTGGTAGATCATATACTCAGCATGTGCCAGGCCCTGATTCAACCTGCAGAATCAAAACAGACACCCACAAAATGTGTCTAACAGTTCCTGTGGGTCAGGAATCCAGGTACAGCAGAGCTGGTTCCTTTGCCTAGGGCTTTGCCAAGTTGGAATTAGGGGTGAGCAGGGTTGTATCATCTGAGGCTCACAGTCCTCTATTGAGAACATTCATTGCTTTACAGAATTTGCTTTCTCCCAGTTGTAGGATGGTGGTCCCTGTTCTCTTGCTGGCTGTTGTTCCTAGAGCTCCTGCACAGACAGCAGACCAGTTTCTTTAATGTTTCATCTTCTAAACCCCACTGATTTCTTTTTCAGGCCCACCCAGGATACTACCTCACTGTCTTATGTGATTCGAAAAGTGTGTCGAGATTATACTTAAGACAATTATATTAAAAATAGGGGAGGTTAAAGTGATGCAAAGGAAAACAGTTTCTTTTTTTTTTTGATACCAGGGATCAAACACGGGTCCTTGCGCTTGGGAAACAGGCGCCGGAACCACTGAGCTAAATGCCCAGCCCAGGAAAACAGTTTCTACACATTTTATTTGAATTAGTAACTTGTGAACACCAGTAAACTTCAGTAAGTTGTACATATATAATATGTAATACCTATTAATTAAAAAGCCTATTTTTTTATCCATTACCAACTATATTCAACTGTGTCATAGACAAATGCAAATGGAACTATAAAAAATGCTCAAGTAGCCCACAGAAAAGCAGGATAAAGAAAAGAGAGAAACAAAAACCATGGGGGAGAAACCCATAAAATAAAAATAAAATGGCAGATGTAAGTCCTAAAGTAACAATAATTACATTAAGTGTAAATAGACTACAATGCGTCAAGTCTTATGTACTATAGGATCCAAGTGCAGTGGCATGCACCTGTAATTACAGCTACTCAGGAAGCTGAGACAGGAAGATCATTTGAGCCCAGGGATTGAAGGCCAGGCTAGGCAATATACTGAAACTCCGTCTCAAAAAACTATAAAGCTCCAATAATCAGGGTAGTTTGGTATTGGTGGTAGAATAGATAAATAGCCCATAAATATAATCAGCTGATCTTTGACAATGGCAAGTCAATAAAGAAAGGATAGTTGTTGGACATGGTGGCACACATCTGTAATCCCAGTTACTTAGGAGGCTGAGGCAGCAACATCACAAGTTCCAGGCCAGCCTAGGTCACTTAGTAAGACCTTGCCTCAAAATAAAAATATAAAAAGGGCTGGGCATATAGCTCACCACTTCCTGGGTTCAAAACCCAGGACCACAAAAGAAAAGAAAATGGAAAGAAAAAAGGAAATAAGGGAAGAAGGAAAGGAGGGAGGGAGGGTGGAAGACATAAAGGAAGGAAGAAAGGTAGGAAGGAAGGAAAAAAAAGGAAGGAAGGGGAAAAAAAAGGACAGATGGATGGAAGGAAGGAAGGAAGGTCTTTTCAACAAATGCTGCTGAAATAACTGAATAGCCATGTCAGGTTAGGGAGAAAGACTCCAAAGATCCTACACCTTTCACAAACTTGAAAATGACTAAAAATGCTAAAACTATAAAAAGTTAGAAGAGAAAAATAATCTAAGTGAACTTTGATATGGTGATAACTTCATAGATACATTGAGAACCTGACCAACGAAAGAAAGAACTGATGTGATGGACGTTATTAAAATTAAAGATGTCTGGCGGCCGGGTATTTAGCTCAGTGGTTTCGCCGCCTGCTGCGCAAGCGCAAGCACCAGAGTTCCATCGCCGGTACCAAAAAAAAAAAAAAAGACACTGTTAAGCAAATGAGAAAAGAAGCCATAGATTGGAAGGAAACTTTGCAAAATAGATATCCGATAAAGAACTGGTATGTAACATATTCAAAGAGTTCTTAAAAATAAGAAAACAAATAACCCAATTTAAAAATGAGACAAAGACCTAAACACACACTTCACCAAAAAAGATATACAAATGTAAAATAAACATATGAAAAGATGCTCAACCTCAAATATTATTAGGGAACTGAAAATTAAAACAATAGCGTGCTGGGGTTGTAACTCAGTGGTAGAGTGCTTGCCAAGCATGTGTGAGGTCCTGGGTTTGATGCCAGCACTGCAAAGACAGACAAACAAAATATTCATAGTTATAGGTATGAATAATTCATAAACTTTAAATGTTTATTTGTGTTAATCTTTCACAAATTCCCATCCTTAGTCATTATTTATTACTCATACATTATTAGTCATTAATGTATTTATCCATCTCCCAATGTAAAAACTCCTGTTTAATGTGCAAACAATTGAGAAAATAAAATTGAAAGTTTTCTCCATTTCATATCTGCAAAGAAAACTTTGATAAAGATAACTTCCAAATAGGCAAACTGAATTGGAGAACTTTATTTTTAGCTTTTCAGGTTATGGTTCCAGTAGTATTTCATACAGAGTCTATCAATGACCATGTTCAATAGACATATGATACTCAAAGAGGTAATGTTTAATTTACTCTGAATAATGAAAAAAGTCCATAGAAATTGTGCTGAATAATTAAAATGTTATATTTATTAACCTCATACACTTAAAAATATATTTCTTATGTACAGATTTTAAAACTATGCTTTGCATAGACTGAAGAAATTGTACAGTAAAGCTATATCTATATCTGACTTTACATCAGAAGATATATACATATCTTGAGCAGCAGTGAAGACTGGATATGAATTCTGATGACTTGAATATTGGCATTTAGAGACAATATATTTTAGATATATCACAGGAAAGATTTTTAGCTTTTCATATTTAGATACTAGAAGATAAGATGTACTATGTATGCTTGTGAAATTACTTTGTATACTTAAAATATCTTTAAATCAACATGGATTCATTGAGAATAACATCCATAGATTTAATCATCTTGTTGAAAATGGAAAGCAAAAAAAGAAAAAATAGAAAGCATAGTAGTAAATATAAATGATAAAGAAAGTCAAAAAATAATTTGCTGAAATGCCAACTGCCTCTCTTCCTAAAGGTAACAAGGAGTTTACAAGAAATATAAACTAGGGCCGGGGATTTAGCTCAGTGGTTCCACTACCTCCCTTGCAAGCACAAGGACCCAAGTTCAATCCCCGGTACCAAAAAACCCCCCAAAACAAACAAACAAAAATAAACTAAATCCTGGTGGGTGTGGTGGCACACATCTGTGATCCCAGCACTTGGGAGTCTGAGGCAGGAGGGTCACTGCGAACTCGAGGCCAGCCTGGGATACATGAGTTCAAGGCCAGCCTGAACTACATAGATAGGCCCTGTCTCAAAAAACAAAAGAACAACAAAACCCTAAATCTTTATCAATGATCTGATTTGATTCTCACAACTGCCCCCTAATGCAGGCATTATCATAATTTTCACATTCCAGAAAAGAACTTGAGATTTAGGCCAGGCTAGTAGTACGTGCCTATAATCCTAGCACTTGGGAGCCTAAGGCAGAAGGGTTGGGAGTTTGAGGCCAGCCTGAGCTACAAAGTGAGACCCTAAAGAACTTGAGACTCAGAAAAGATACTCTCCATTTACTCTTTCTGCCAAATACCACCAAAGAGTGTTTCTCTCTTTAGACGTAAGGACTGTTTTCTGGTTTGTGGCTTTTTTTGTTAACCCTATGCCAGGGTAATAACAGCCATGAATAGGTAGCAAGGGGATACTATTTCCTCCACCAATTACACAGCAAGCTGTGCTGGCTTATGTTGCCTTGTTAAGACTAAAAACAACCTGACAAAATTTTCCACTATTCTGAGATCCAGAAATAAATATCAAGTAGATCTTGGCTCCCTCAGGAATTTAGGATGGCATTTAGGGAGTGGAAGTGTATCCACTGGCATTGGGGATCACTGTAATGCTCGGTTCCACTGATTTTGTTGGGAGAATATGTTTTGAGGAATTAAGAAAAAGGAAACAAGTTAAAGGTCCAAAAACATAGGGAAAAACACAACCGAGGGATCCATATAGGATTTTGAACTTCATTTTATCTACTAGGTCCACTGATGGCCATCAAATGCTTTCTAAAACTTCTTCATTTCATAATTGTCTTGTATTTGGAGGTTATGTTCTTTAGTCACTACACAGTTCTCAACTTGTTCTAATAGTTCTGTTTTTAGAAACATGTAAACTACTGAATTTTCTGACTAAATTAGATTAAGACATGTGACTGGGGAATGTGAGAGGAAGTAATTCCAGATCATGAATCTAGAGAGCTTATATTAAAGGAGATTTGGAAAAGTATTATTATACATAGAGACATGACTTAATTATAAATGGGTAGGCCATCAGAAGATATAATAATATTAAGCCTATGCATGTAACTGAAGGGCTTCAAATAAGATGAAACAAAAATAAATATGATTAGAAAATCCACATATATACATGAGACATCAAAACTTCTTTCTGAAAAGCCTGGAGTGGTGGTGCACACCTGTAATCCCGGCACTCTGGAGACAGAAGCAGGAGGATTGCTGAGTTTGAGGCCAGCCTAGGCTACATAGTGAGTTCAAGGCCAGCCTGAACTACACAGCAAAACCATTGTCTCAAAAAACCAAAAGCAAACAAGCAAACAACAAAAATGGCAAAACCAAACAAACAGCTTCTTTTTTCAGGAATCAAATTAATTTACTTTTTAGAAATCAGTATGGTATAAAAAAA